CCAAAGTGCTGGGATTACAAGCTTGAGCCACCGCGCCTGGCCAGCAATCCTAATTTCTTTCTTTCACCTTTTGTATTATTGCTGGCATTCATTTCACTTATACATACACATACACATACACATACATATTTGGATGTATTGTTACTATTATAATTTTGAACAAACTGTTATCTGATATATTAATTAAACATAAAATGTAGTAGTTTTCATGTTATGTACCATTATTATGTATTCATTGATGATGCTCTTCCTTTCTTATATGGATCAAAGTTTCTGGCTGATACCATTTTCCCTCTGCCTAAAGAACTTCCTTTGATATTTCTAGCAATGCAGGGCTATCGGCAATACATTTTTTTCAATATTTGTCTGAGACCTTTATTTCCCATTTACTTTTGAAGGTTGCTCAATGAGATAAGAATTCTAGGTTGATGATTTCTTTTCTCTTAACACTTTAAATATTTTCATTCATTATCTTCTTGCTAACCTGGTTTCTGAGGGTATCAGATGTAATTCTTTGCTTTTCTACAGGAAAGGTGTTTATTTCTCTTGTGTCTTTTTTGAGATTCTTTGTTCATCTTTGATTGTATTAAATTTGAAAATAATATAACTAGTTGTCATTTTTCTGGCATTTATCCAGCTTGGTATTTTCTGAGTTTTCTGGAATCTGTGTTTTGATATCTGACAATAATTTGGGGAAATTCTCAATTATTGTTGTTTCAAATGTTTCTTCTGTTCTTTTCCCTTTTTCTTCTTCCTTTGGTTTTCCCCCTATGCATAAGTTACATTTCTATAGTTGTCCCACAGTTATTGAATATTCTGTTCCATGTTTTTTCAGTTTTTATTTTCTTTGCTTTTCGGTTTTGGAGCCTTCTACTGATATGTGTGTGTGTGTGTGTGTGTATACACATATATATTCAATCTCAGAGATTCATCTTTCAAAAGTGTCTAGTCTACTCATAAGTCTATCAAAGATATTCTTCATTTCTCTTAAGGGTTTTTTTTTATCTCTAGCACTTCTTTTTGGTTCTTAAAATGTCTTTCTCTTTGTTTTCATTGTCATCTATTTTTGTACATTATCTAATTTATCCTTTAGAACCTTCTGCATACTAATCAGAGTTATTTTAAATATCTGATCCACTGATTCCAACACCCTTGCCATATCTAAGTCAGCTGGTGATACTTGCTCTGTTTCTTCAAATTGTGATTCTACGCCTTTAGTAAGTCTTGTGGTTTTTTTTTTTTTTTTTTTTTTTTTTGATAGCCTGACATTATGTATTGAGTAAAAGGAACTATTTTAAGTAGGCCTGTGGTAATGTGGTACTACGGTGTAAGGGGGGCAAGCATTCCATAATCCAATGATTATGTTTTGCTTTTTCAGTAACGCTGTACCTCTGGATTGTGAGCTTTACACGTGTTTCTCAGTTCACCTCTCCTCTTTGCCTGTACCTCCTTAAATGGGACAGAATAATTATAGGGAGCTGGAACTTGGTATTATCCTTCCCCCAAGTCAAGTGGGTTCTGATAATAATTCCAGCAGGTTAGGATCTGGTTGAATAGTTCATCCTGAAAACAGACCTTGTTAAGAGTAATTGAATTATCTGGTATATTTTTAAATGGTTTCCTTTTCTCTTCTCAGCCAAAAGCACAAGAGTATTTTCTCTAATATGTACCGTGAGAAAACAGGTTGAGCTCAAGGAAATAAAACTCACAGAAGTGTGGGAGCCCTCCAATGACTGGGTCCCTCTGGAGTTTTTAATCTCTCAGACTTGTCAACACCAAGTCTCCAGCAATTTGTTAATCACAGTTAAGCTTTCTTCCCCTGGCACTTGTTTCCATGAAGAATATTACCTGTGGGTTTCTGCTTCATTAAGTTGCTTTATACATTTACCCATTTGCCTCTCCAGTTTCAGGGGCAGTGATTTGCCCTGTGACCTCTCTTGTTTTATAAATATAAAATGAGTCATTGATTTTTTTTTTTCATTTGTTCAGCTTTTTATTTGTTGTTGGGGTTGAGTGATGACTTCCAAGCTTCTTATATACTGGGCCAGAAATCAGAAGTCCACTGTAGGATTTTGAGATGGGATGTGTGGGATAATTTAATTTATGCCTCTAAAAAGAAAGGTAGTGTGCACTTTGGAAGGCCGAGGCAAGTCTATCACCCATGCCATTGCACTTCAGCTTGGGCAACAGAGCAAGACTCCGTCTCAAAAAAAAAAGGTAGTGTATAAATATTATTCAGCCATAAAAAAGAATGAAATCCTGTCTTTTACAACAACATGGATGGAATAGGAAATCATTAAGTAAATGAAATAAGCCAACACAGAAAGACAAATATTGCATCTTCTCACTAATATGTTGTGGCTAAGAAAGTGGATCTCATAAAGATAGACAGTAGACTGGTGGTTACCAGCGGCCAGGAAGGGTAGGGGTAGGGGGAAATAAAGAGATTAATTAAAAATAATAAATGAGCACCAACATACAATTTGATAAATAAAATAAGACCTAGTGTTTGATAGATCAGTAGGATGACTATAGTTTACAATAGTTTATTGTATATTTCAAAATACCAGAAGAGAATAATTCAAATATTTCTAGTATAAAGAAAAGAAAAATATTTGAGGTGGTGGACATCCTGATTACATTGATTTGCTCTTTACAAATTATATGAATGTAATAAATTATCACATGTATCCAGAAAATATGTGCATTTATTGTGTACCAATGAAAAAGTAAATCAAAATTTGTAAAAAAGTATGTGCTATGTGGATAGAGATGAATAAAATTGATATCGGGGTGTGAAGCTAGGGAGAAAGGGACATAGTTCAGAGGGAAATATGGTGGCTTAGGATAGTAATAGTTAATGTGACAAGACACAGATTTAAGATGTATTTTGAAGGTAAAGCCAACAAAACTTCTTAGCGGACAAAATGGAAGATGCATGTTAAAAGGATAAATTAAGAATTAGTATTAGATTTTTAGCCTGAGCAGGGATTAGGACCGTTTACTGAGAAGAAGACATGAAGAAGTGCCCCTGATAAGAAAAGAAAAAGTTCTTCCACCAAAATGGAAGTGGAGAAAAAGAATGAAAATTAGATGCAGGCAGATGGTTACATGTGATAGAGAGGGAAGAATGATAACATTTTTTTTCTTATTGTTTTTTAATTTTTGGAGAAATAATTGAAAAGTCATCAAATGAAGTTAGGAGAATGAAAAATGTTGAAATTCAAAGAAGAGAGGGTATGAAACAATCATCACTGAGAATCAGAAGTGAAATTTATTAGACAAATGAATAGGAATTCTGGGCAATAATAGGGATCCACTTGAGATTTGTGATTAAAAATTTTAAGTGTGACTTTTCAACAAAGTTGAACACTTCCTTTCAGCTATGTTAAGCTTTTTCAGTGAGGTCAGAATCAGGAGAGATTTAAGTTTAACAGCTAATGTTTTGAGAAACTTATATGATTTAAGACAGAGGGTTGAGGGTAACAAGGGAGTCATTTTAATTTTGGAGCAAAGTAAGCTAACTAAAGAGGAAGATAAGGTCATAATCAGAAGATGAAGAGTAAAAAGCGGTGGGACAATGAGTTGGACAGAATCATAGATGCTGTAGTGAGAGTACTAGCTTATGTGAACTGGAAAAACAAGATGATGTTTCCAGAGTAGAGTGCTTGAAAATGAGATTTTGTAAAGAATGAATTTATTGGTAGTGAAATGTTCTGTGATATGACCATGGAAGTGACTGGTTGATATGAAAAGGATAAATATTCATTATTGGAGGTGAAGATGTTCAGAAACTGAGAAAACAATAGTTATTCGAATCACAGTAGATGAAATTGTCTTATGCCCTGTATTTCAAATAATCCATAGTTTTTAAAAGGGAAAGAAAAATGGTATGGTAGTGACCAGAATACATACCTCACTTCCAGATAATGTTAACACGTTATAAAAGTCAGTCAGGCATCGAAAAAGCTATTAAGAAAGCAATGACCATGAATTTCATAGAATAACCAATGAAAGGATTTAAAGGGTTGGAAAAGAGTGGGTGTTGGCTTAGAACAGAGTTTTGATGATGATGTATGACCTAGTAGATTTGAACCTTTTTAACTAATGAAGTAAACAGAGAAATGTATCATCTGATGAGTACTTTCTTATGGGAAAGTTGGTACTACTGTTACTACTGATAACTGTTAGTGTGTCATTAATATGTTCAAGGTATCATTCTAAGCATTACATATGTGTGTGTGTGTGTGTGTGTGTGTGTATATATATATCAGCTCATATCATCCTCCTGCAAACCTTGTTGTTGTCTACATTTTATGATTGAAGAAACAGGGAGGTTAAGTTATCCAATACTGCTTAGTGAGTAGTGGAGCTGAATCTAGGCATTCTAGCTGCAGAGAAGACACTCTTAATCATTATGAAATAGTTTCCTTCTTATAAGCAGGACTTTGGGCACTTTTAATTATGAGATTACTGGGATGGTAAGAGATGGTGGGGTAGTAGTAATGAGAAGTCATGATTTTACAAGAAAAACTCAGAGATCTATAGATTTCTCTTCACTTCTTCCAAGAGTAATATTAATCCTCAAGGAGGGACAATCTTCTCAAAGGGTATGGAGTTGTAAAGGTCTCTTAATACCAGAACAACTCAAGCTCTGATTTATCTTGCATAGATGACTGTGGGATAGTTTGCAGCCTTGCGAGGAGAAGACTTCCTAGACCTCTATAAAAGAAAGAGTCAAGAAAGTCACTACTAATGATGACTTGCGAAGACTTTGAGGGCTTCAGACACCGTATGTATGATCTTAAAGAAAATTTAAGAGGTGTTATTTCAAGCATAGCTTTTGCCTCAAATATGCCCTTCCAACTGAGAAAAATATTAGTCACACAAATACTTCAGTGAAGTTAAAAGTAAAACTATTATTTACTAGGTCAAAATGCAAAAGGGGGAAAATTCAATAAAAAGTAACACTATAAAGAAGCAAATCTGTGGAGAAACATGATTTTGATGACTAGTTGTCTTTTTATTAGCTATCAAGTTCATTTAACAGACAAAAAATTCAGTTCAAGGTCATTCATTAAAATAGGAATAATTAACAATAGTTCATTATTCAATCTTTCAGCTGTTCCTATTTTATCACAATAACTTTTCCTATAATTGAGAGATTCATGAGGAAGTCTTGAAAAGAATGTATGTTTCTTTCAATTCAATAAAACATTCAGTCAAAATAATAAAAGAGGTGCTATTACTTTGTTTTGGGTGAATGGTATGTAGGCTAGGCTTTGCTGTAAGACTTTGAGCTCATAAGCTGGTATAAAATATCAAACATTTTGACTGTTTAAACAACTCAAGATATGTTTTGCAAAATTACAAAACATTGTACATGTGACTTAATTAATATCTACTCCAATTATACACAACACATCATGCTGAAGATTTAGATTTATTTGAAAACACTTAGTCTAATTTATATTAGTGCAGAAAAATCACATTCAATAAACCACAATTGTAGAAGAGACAAATAAGTGTGTTTTGTCACATTTTCACACAAATATAATTTGATATTTAAAGTATGATGAATCACAATCACATGTAAATAAATGATTTATTCTCTCAGTAGTAGTAAGAATCTCTTTTGAGTATGTAGGGTCTTCTGGGTTTATTCTCAAACAGCTGCCGTTTGAGAATATAAGGAATTTTTCTCTTTATGACTTCTTCCTTTTCATTTTTGTCATTTCCAGTATCAAGAATGTCTTCCTGGATTAACTGCAAGATAGAGATGAAGTAAGTGAAACTTACATGAATAAACTCTTTTGTTTCAGAGCATTTTTCTACATTCTATCTCATTTGCTGTTAAGACAGCAAGACATATGTAGGTGAGATACGAGATACATGAAGTTCAAAGAAATTGTTTTTTCAAAGGAGAGACGGCTATTCAGTGGCTGCAATAGTATAAGAACATGATAATTCTGACTCAGTTCAGGATTCTTCCTAGTTCACCAGGCTAGCTCTTTTAAAAAATTTCTATATACTTTACTAATTATGTATTTCAAGACTGTACACTAATCCCACCTTTTGTAGAAAAACACCAAATAGACCTTTGAGTACTTTCAGGCTTCAATTTATGATGGAAATGCCAAAAGTATGAAATATATATTTCAATATAGTTTTTGATCTGGTAAACCAAGTTTGGCCACAAAGGTAACAAAATTTTATATTCAATTAAGTCAGTTACTGATTTGACATGAAAACCATTCCAAGGGTCTATTTCTCAATAGAGGCATTAAAATTGCTTTATCCAACTTCTTCAGTTGTAAAAATCAACGTATGGGAAAGCTCGATTTAAATGATGACAATCTCTTTAGATTGTGGTGCTTAATCATTAAAGCAAGCTCAGATTCAATAACTTAAAGGAGTTAAACTCCATGCAGAATCTTGCCTAATATCAAGAGGCAGGAATATGCCCCATTCTAATATTAACTATAACTTTTTTTCTGAGAATATGGTTCTGACTCAAAAATTTCAGCTACCATTTAAGAAATCTGTCCATAGTTTAATACACAATTTGAATAAACTTTAAAAGTATGTTAAAGATAATTTTTTTTTTGTATTTTTAGTTATCTTCTAATTTGAGGGGTCACTATAACAAATATTGATGGGGACTGAGTTTTAAATTGTAATGCATATGAATAAAATCTTAAAACCAAGTACTTTATTTCAACCCACAGCTATTCAATTTCAGAGAGAAAACAGCTACTGTCAGACAATCTACTTTCTTAATCTTTAGTTTTTTTGTGCATAGTCTGTAATTACTTGTACTATGCTCAGAATATTATCATTTTATTTTAAATCACTCAATAACATTTAAAATAGGAAAAAGTTTTAATCTTATTTGCACTTGATTGGTCTACATAGTTTATTGAGGATTTTTTTTTGGGGGGGGTAAGTAACATATAATGGACATTTTCCTATATAAAAATATAGGCAGGAGTGTAGTGGTGCGATCTAGGTTCATTGCAAGCTCCGCCTCCCGAGTTCACGCCATTCTCCTGCCTCAGCCTCCTGAGTAGCTGGGACGACAGGCGCCGGCCACCACGCCCGCCTAATTTTTTGTAGTTTTAGTGGAGACGAGATTTCACCGTGTTAGCCAGGATGGTCTCGATCTTCTGACCTAGTGATCAGTCCGCCTCAGCCTCACAAACTACTGGGATTACAGGCATGAGCCACCGTGCCCAGCCAAAACATATTTTAAATACTAAACAATTTACCAGAAATTTAAATTAAATAATTAATAGTAAATTTAAAACTGATCTTTTCAGTTTTTTGTTTATTTATCTTTTTGCTTACCAGTTATAATAAACACTAGAAATTCTGCCTGCACTTCTTCTTATCTACAGGGTAGCTCTTTGGTAGTCAATCACAAGTTTGTTAGATTAGCAGGGAAGGCACCCTCAGATCTCCAATGCTAGTGTAAATCCAGAATATAAAATATTGACCAAATTTCTCTTAGAGGTTAATTTGAAAGAAATGTTTCCCTTGTCAGAAATTTTTAAACATCTGTTTTGTTTTTGTTGAAGAATTTATTTTTCTTCCCCCTCCTCTTCTTTATCCTGACATTGTTCTATATCTTCTCAAAGCTGTAATTTATATTTCAGAGCAAAATATATCAATGAAGGCAATAAATTGTAAAGCATTTTGCAAGTACATTATTACACACTGGTGTGTATTTATAAACAAACACAGAACACAAAGGTTTCCAAATAAACAGAAATGATGGGCAGATATATATCCCTATTATATATACCTTTATATAAATTAAAAATATTTTTATTTGCCTAATATATTCAAACACAACAGGTTCCAGATAAAACTGGAATAATAGAGATATATTAGGTTGGTGCAAAAGTAATTGTGGTTTTTGCCATCAACAGTAATGGCAAAAGTAATGGCAAGAACCACAATTACTTTGCAACAACGTAATACATCCTTATCTTATATTTGTATATACATAAAAATATATTTTTTATTTGCCTAATATATTCAAATACAAATGGAAAACTTTATGTTTTATTCCAGTTTTACTTGGATTACTTTGTTTATAGATTTATAAATCCAGTTTGTTTATAGATCACTACACATGACTTTGTGTTTCTAAGACAACATTTTGAGTTGCTTAAATTTGTTAGACATGCCACCACCTACAACAAAAATTGCCTAAACGTGCCATCCACTTAAGCATAATAAAAACATGTAGATCAAATCTGCCTGAAGATATATCCTCTTTTTAAGGTTGAAGAAAAACATATTTTGCTCAGTTTCAAATACTTGAAGGACACTTTGAAGATTTGAAGCAATGTTGACTTCAACACATGGCTTGTTCTTCTTCAATACTTGTAACTCTTCTTGTTATGATTATGATTGGGAATTTAATAAATCAGTACAAATGACAGTTAACTAGTGTAACTATAATCATATTAATATTTTGTTATTGCTATACCTCCCAGTGTTGAAAAGCCCTGCTGTGACAGATTTTGTGGAGCTGGTATATTGTCAACATTGCTTCCAAGCTAAAGCCATCTAAAGCAGTGGGAAGTTTCCTTCTTGTAATAAGCTGCTCTTCATGAACTTCTCCTGTTTCCTCAGCTGGGCTGTTCAAATTATTTACAAGACTGCAAACATTTAGCAGAGTCATCTTCCAAGAGGGAACATGTGCTTTACTAATCTGAAACATAAAATTTAAAAAAAAAAAAACCCTGCAATTAAAACTTGTGTTACATGAGCAAGAAATGAATTCCCAGTGTGCTAAACCATCACATTTAGGGTCTAATTGCTACTCCAGTCTAATAAACACAGTGTTATTTATTTAGTAACATCATGTTCACAAAGTTGTATAGTGCCAATATCTCATAAATTCTATTTAACAAAACGCAATAGTCATATTCACATACACATGCACTTATGTGTGTACACACAGAGCAAAGTAAAAAAGCAAGAAAATTAAAATGACAGCAGAAATATATATATATGATATATATCACAGATGAAAAATTAAAAATAAAAAATTATTCCATATCTATTACATTTCAGCTTAATGTGTAATGGGGCAGTGACAAAGATGGTATTATTAAATGTGGACAATTACAAAGCATGAAGATAGTAATGCATTCCACACATTAATAATTGCTATGGGTAGCATCACAGATTATTTAGGACCTTTACGTATTAACTTGCACCTGGGAATTAGGTAAATCTATACCAAGACACCAAGGCACGTAACTTATCCCATTTTCTAACACAGACTATTAACTTCAGTTGTCTATTTTTGAACTGAAGAGGTTGTAGCCATTGGTATTCTGATTGAGTACTAAACAATGAGAACACATGGGCACAGGGAGGGGAACAAACCACACTGGGGCCTGTCAGAGGGTGGGGTGGAGGAAGGAAGAGCATTAGGAAAAATAGCTAATGCATGCTAGGCTTAATACCTAGGTGATGGGTTGATAGGTGCAGCAAACCACCACAGCATACCTTTACCTATGTAACAAACCTGCACATCCTGCACATGTACTGCAGAACGTATTCCTAGGTACGGATTGGAATTTTAGAAACTTGCTTTCAAGACCCCAGCAGAGGAGTAATAGGGCCCAGAATACAAAGTTGTATTTGGCTCAATTAAAGAAAAAAGAATTAGAACATGTGAAAATAACGTGTCTGGTATAGGGAGAATTTAAATCCAGACATACAATGAAGAGTACAGTTTAGCAATTCCTAAATACATTATAGAATGGTAAATGTCTAGAAGACTATGAGCTGCATTTAAAAACAAGGAAACACAGGTAAGCAAGGTAAACTAATCCACTTGCTAAAGGTAAAATATTTAATAAGTCACTGTTTCAGGATTAGATCTCAGTGCTCCTGCTTGCCAGTCCATTGCTCTCCCCTGTCTACTACATTTCTTTTGCAGGTTGTAATGAACTGTTATTTCTAATTTAAGAAAATAAAAAAAAAAACCTTTTTATTTCCCCCAATATAATAAACAAAGGCAAAGAGCTCACTTTGTTTTCATTTAAACTGAGACCAATATACCTTTCATCATACCCAATGTAAAAGGCATGGAAACAAGTTCCTTTAAAAACATTTACAGGCACGTAAATATGTGTGGCAATTAATTAAAATTGCAAAATACTGATTGATAGAACTATAATTTCTTTACCTGTCATATCAACACCTTTAACTTCTTTTAACTAAAAGAATTTTTTTTTTTTTTTCAAAAAGGAAATGCCTCTTAAGGAACTTTTAAATCTGGATAGGAAGTTATTACTATAGGAAAAGGATACCATATTGATAATGAAAGTTCATATGTTCTTCAACCCAGAGTTAAAGAAAAGAAAAAGTTACCTTTGATGTATGCATACTGGTCAATAAATCTGCTTCTAATGCTTTCATTTCTTCCTCTGAATCTGAGTAAAATCAAAATCAGGTTTACTATAATCACATATCATATAATTATATCATAATCTACAGATTTTAGGTTAATTTTAAAAAGTAGTCTTAGAGGTTGTTGTCTTTCTTATGTATTTTCTTAAAAATAGTAATCTTAAAAAACAAATTTTAGGTATATTTTAGCATAATAGGAAGCTAAAATAGTAGAAGCACTTCTAAGAAAATAAGCATATGATTATTTGTTCAGACAGCTGTTGATGACTTTGAGTTGTTTAAACTTTGAATTTCAGATTTTTAAAATGTGATTATATTGTATAACACATATTTTACCAACTATGCTAGAGTAGTTTATTTCTTACCAGCCATGGTTTACATACATAGAAAATATGCATATTAACATTTAAAAACACAACATAATGAAGATTATACAAGAGACTTTTTCAAGACAAAACCAAAGGGAATTGCTTACTGATAATTTTAGAATAATACAGATACTGAGATTTACTTAACTTGAGATGCTTTTTTACAAAACATACGTTGAAAGAATTGTATTTGTACTTTAAGTAAGAATTCGGAATTATGTATCCTTAATTTTATCATAGGTGTTTAAGAAAATTGTTTAAAGCAAAAGTGGAGCTGTTCAACAATACATGTACAATAGCATTGAAAATGGGTCTCTGGATTTTTTTACAAACTCTATCCAAGTTTCTGTTAATGAATATTTTACAGAGAAGGAAAATTTAGAAAATAGTGTACGATAACAAAAATCAAGTTAAAAATGACTCTATCTTTCTTGTACTTCACACTCAGTAAAAAGAAATGTCAGAATCGGAGAAACTATTGGCTTAATTTTACCTAGAAACTAAATTATGCAAGAGATCTTCTCTCCTTATTTGTTAGAGACATAATCTGTTTTAGGAATTTATGAACAATGTATACTCAAATCCTCATAAGTTTTGCATTATTACAACAAGTAGTTTCAAGTTAATCATCACAGTGCTTAATCAATAACCCAGTTTTTCTTCCAGAAGTATGTGAATCTTTAATCTCAAATAACTTTCAGATAAAATCACAATTGTAGAAAAGTTTGTTTTTTCTCATAAGATTTGAAAAGTAGAAGCTGAAAGTTATGTTCTGATGATTAAAATAAATTTAAAATTTTGCATAAATCACTTTTATATCTTCTTAGATTTTAATGTCATAATTTAAATCAAATGATAGCATGAGTTTGAGTTAAACATTTCAATGTCATGTTTATGATACATAAAAGCACGGAGCAGATTAAATTATTTTTGCTGCATTTACTTCCTAAGGTGTTCTTTTCCCTTTGAAGTGGTCATTCAAATATTTCTTAAATATTAAGTACAGCCTTTTGCAATGGTTGTAATATTTCATGTTATACCTTTCAATTTAAATCTTATTTTCAAAGTATGTTATTTATAGATATTTAGGACTATATAACTTCTCCTTTCACACCACATGCAAAACACTCTGAAGTCAAATCATTTCCATCAATATAAGAATACCAATTCTCCAACTGTATTTTGTATTAACTTAAATGGCATGGAAAAAATGCCAAACAGTTATATTAATAGCATACTTATTAGACTATGCAAACTGTATTCTCAAAAAGGATCTGGAATATTTTTGTATTTTTCTAGAAATGAATATCTACAAATAATGCTTCATTCATTTTTCAGTAAGCATCCATTTTCACTTTATGTGTTATCTTAACACAAACAATTAAGAAAATAATATGGGGACTATTACAAGGGCATGAGGGCCACCGTTTCCTAAGAGATTGAATGAGGATGAGAGTAAAACATTTTAAATGGAATGGGATTTAATGATAGGTTTGCAGGTTGACAGCCACTGTCTCTGTACTTCTCATTAGATAATGATCAGCCTAATTGAAAGTTTTGTAAGGTTTTTTTTTTTTTTTTTTTTCCCCCTCTAGTGGTTGCATTCCAAAGGGGGTCATGCAGTGTTTCATTGAAATCCCTTTTATTGCTTTGTAGATTTTAAAAGGGAAAATGCAGCTCTCAGTAATCATAAAGGCAGAGAAAAAGATATTCAGTTTCTGTCACTAAAAGGTAAATCCTGAATAAAAGGGAGCAACTCTTTTCCCTCGATACATGAACATAAGTAGCAACACACTGCAAAAGAGAAAAAAGAAATCACTTCAGGGAGTTGTGAAATTCTGTTTTGCTTACCTGAGCACAGACTCCAGGAACTGAAAGCCAGGAGTAGCATGCATACAAGCTGAATTTTCATTCCTGCCATCATCTTTCAGCCTTCTAACAAGCCAATTCCATAAAAGTCAGAAGCACACTGAAGGGGGCTCTCTCTAGCACTTCCTCTTGCCTTCAGCTGGCTTTGAAAGTGAGTGAACTATGAGAGGTGCTCTGGCCATTCCCCTATATATATAAGCAGGAGGATGATGTCATTGATTGTACAGGCATTATCTTTGCAGGATGTGCCCTATCTTCACCTCTATCTTTCCCCGCTTTGCCCTGCTTTCTCCTCCCCTTTTCCTTTGTCCCCCCCTGCTCTCCTCCCCCATTTCTGAATCTTGAGTGAAAGTGACGATCTTCCCTAATTGCTGCTGCTGCTGCTTTGGATTTCTGACGCACAGAAGGAGTCATTCAACTGCACTGCTATGTACAGCATACTGACAGAGAACCCCCAGTATCATCCTTTTCCCACTTCTCATTCCCCCACTGCAAAAGTCATTTTGATTTTGTGAAATATGAGATCTGCTATTTCTAATTTTTAAGTAAAATCTCAAGGATGAATGCATGAAATCAGTGATTCCTTAGGCTTGAAAGTTCTTGAAGAGTTAGGGGCTTTTCTGGTAATTCAAACTTCTGAGCAAATGTTTAGTGGTTCCAAAACTAATACAGGTTTTAAATAATCCACGCTAGAATAAGATGGAATATAGTCAGAGAATCAGTTATCAAAATTAAGCAAATAAATTTAGAGAATAGGAACAAAGCCAATAAAAAGAAATAATAGATCCAGGGAATAAGATATTATTTCCCAACAAATCAAAAATATTTTATTGTAAGTAATGAGAGATGACTGAACTATGTGTGCTGACTTTTGGTTGAATGTATTAGAAAAACAATTTCATGTTTATAAAATCCAGCTCTAAATTACTTAAATGTTAGCACATAAAAATTTGTATTGTTGTATCACTGACTTTTTTTTTCTGTACATTATCTCTTTTTGTGCCTATATTTTTCCGCTCTTTTTGAATTCATTCTTGATGCCATGTCTTATTCTTTGTATAATTCCCTTCTCAACTGTTTTTACTATTGCATAAGCTTTCTTTCCCTGTTATAATACTCTTTTCATCATAAAAATGAGATTGTATTTTTGGCAAGGAGACAATCCTAAATAACCACCGTTCACCAAAGTCACTTTTCTATGATAGTCTTCGTGTTTTTAATGGGTTACACTGATACCCATTCTTTGTCTGAGTTCTGAAAGAAAATTGCTCAAAATGCCTTTTAGAGTAAAGCTTTCTTCTTGTAGTAAGCGTTTCAAGATACATGGGGTGATTTGACAAGTCAGTGCTGTTAGAGATGTGAATATTTGAATGTAAAGTTGTCTGAGCATTGTTTAATTTTTAAATAAATCAATCATACTAACAGTTGAGAAACAAATAGGATTGATTCCTATAGATAACTGATTTATGTTATACAATCTATGAGTTTAACTTTTTCACCTTTACCCTAAACTTAAGGAAAGAGATTAATTCCAAGCATTTAATAATTACTCAGAATAGTAAGGAGTCTTATATAATACCAGGAATTTAATAATAAATGATATATTTATTACTTTTAGTTTGTTTTGTGAACTTACATAAAATACGATATTGAACATACGTGGAGGAAAGTTTCTGTAAAGTATTTAGTTGACAAAGAAATGTGAAATACATTCATTTAGATGTTTTCTGCTTTCCTACCATTAGGGGGAGCAATGGAAGCTTGAAACTCTCTATTTTCACTTAACAGAGTCGAAGTGAGGATTTGTGCTTACTTTCCTGTTATGATCAGAGCATCTTTGTGACAGAATCCTCTTAAAGCCACTTTGATTAACAAATCAGGAAAATTATATATACTTTGCATGATAATTAAATTAGTTGTTTTCTCTGCTTTTGAATTGCAAATACAAAGAATGATCTTTTAAAATGTATGATAGCAGTCTAATAGTAAAAAGGAAGTGTGATTCTTATTTTCCTGAAATGATTTCTTCAATATGTTGACAAAATGGATTCCTAATTAATTAGAAAAAAGGGGGAGAAAGAATAATGGAAATTCATTTTAAATATATAACATGGATATTAGTTGTTAATGTGAAAATTGAGATATATGATAAACATTCAAGAACAGGGGAAACATTAAGTTATGTCAAATAATTCAAACTCAAATAGATGCTATATGCTATTTTTCTTTTGGGGAAAAAAGATGTATAACTTTGGTAGAATTATGAGGTAGATAAACTTTGACCTCTAATTGGTATTTTCTTTTAATGTTTTTTGTTTTTTGTTTCTGGCTCTACTCTAATGCCTTCAAGCTACAGATAAACCAATAAAACAATTTGTTGTAGGGATAAAGGTTAAGTATGTATTTTTCCACTTAAAAAGTACCCTACGAACTCCCTAAATGAAGCCTTTAATGCAAGATTGTAGACACCTCGCTATGGAGATGGATGAACTGTTTTTATTTTAAAGGCTTTTTACCCGAGATCCTTTTTTCCCCCTTTTTTTCAAGATGGGGTCTCTCTCTGTCGCCAGGCTGGAGTGCAGTGGCATGATCTTGGCTCACTGCAATCTCCACCTGCTGGGTTCAAGCAATTATCCTGCCTCAGCCTCCTGAGTAGCTGGGATTACAAGCACACCACCATGCCCAGCTAATTTTTGTATTTTTAGTAGAGATGGGGTTTCACCATGTTGGCCAGGATGGTCTCAATCTCTTGACCTCGTGATCCGCCCGCCTCGGCCTGCCAAAGTGCTGGGATTACAGGCGTGAGCCACCGTGCCCGGCCTACCTTATATCCTTCTAAAGGTTACCTAGTTCTTAAAATATCTGATAAAGATTTTAAACATTGTCCTTTAATAATCCTCCTGTGTTGGCCTTCTTAAGTGGATGTCACTTGTTAGGTACCTGTCGATTGCAACATCTCTAAAGTAGGTAGATTTCTAAGCTTGTACTGTTACTTATGTCAGACTTTTATTAGGTAATTGCTGAAAATAATCAACAGAAACACCTAAAGAATTGGAGTGGTCTGAAAGCTTATCTGGTTTGGAGAAGGGCAAGCTCTGGAGCCAACTGATGAAGCGTTGGTTCTTCAGCTCCTGACAGTTTCTTCCTATAGCTCTAGTGACTTTAACACCTCAATAACAATTTCCTGGCCTTTCCAATCTTTTGGTAACCTAAATGTCCAAAACTTGGCCTGTTGTGTTTCCACAACCTGGAATCTCCCCTTCACCTTCCTTTGATCATCCTGTATTTTATGGCCTAATCAACAAAAATATTTCCAAGTTTGAGTCCTGAAAGTAGTATTTTCTACTTCTATTTTTCCTAGTTTTCTGTTAAATGCTCAGTAGTTTGTTCATACAGTTTATGGTAAACTGTAAACTGCTAGAAGGAAAACATTCTGACTTCTAAGGTTTATAATCCATAAGTGATCAATACATACTTACTAAATTGAATGAAAGTACTGATTATGTTAAATTTCTTACATGCCCTTTCCATGTTTTAATTTCAAATGTTTCTTTCAGCCATACCTTTTAACACTCTTTTATTATCATTAATCTTCATATTTTATGTGAATTTTTATGGTCAGTTTTCTCAGACTTTTGTCTCATCATCCTTTTCCTCTCTGACTGGAAAAGTTAACTTTAAAAAAATCATTCAAGAAGATTGTCCTTGGATCATGTACAATCATCAGCTGAATATTTAGATAAATTGTAAGTTTGCTCCATTTCTATAAATGAGTCTATCATTTGAAGCTGCAACTGATTCATCTGAACAAATAATGATGTCAAAGTCTGTGAACCCAATTGATTTTTCTGTTCAATTAAAGTCTATTTTCTAGAAACACAGATGGGTGTTCGCATGCATACACCCACATAGGATGTGTATAACCCAACCTTGGAGATTTAGGTAAATGTAAAACAAACGTTCAATTTCCCAATCTGTATGTAACCTTGTTTTGCCCATAATCCTTACAAATTCCCAGCTCATTTCCTTTCGACTCTTCCTATCTCTGTTGTTGCATCCTTATAGGTAATTAACCTGGAAAAATTGATGACTGATTTCTGTACTGAAAGCATATTTTGCAACTTAAACCGTAATTACAACACACGCTTTGCTTGGGACTTACACGTTAATGAGTTACCATATTTAACTAACCACGCTCCACATTGCAGCCATCGCTGACTTCACTTACAATCTTGCTTCTCATGTCTAAGAAAAAAATGTAAATACCCACAAAATCACCACCCATTATGTGTAATGCTCAGGTAGGTGTCCTTATAGGTCTCCCTTTTGAATAAGACCAAAATAAAAATATTACAGGAAAAAATGTTCCTGACAAATTTCTTCTTTCATGTTTCTTAGTTTTATAAATTAGTGTATCTAATGTAATAAATGAGATAAACTGCTATTATAAGAAAACTTTCTCTCTTCTTTTTCAATATTACAAAGTCTAAGAAAATTTCCATGGCATCTGCAATACCTGAAACAGAGCAGATGTACTTGAGCTACCATCTACCAGGAGCAAATTCAGTGAAACACTTTTTTTCTTTCTCTCAAGAATATACATGTTAAATTTGGAATGTAATGGTTTTATATTATTCATACTTCTTGGGTTTATAATTCTTTTCAAATTTACAGTGCTTTCCCAGTGAATCTGATAAGTCTTATGGTTTTGAATCCTATCTATTTCTTAATAACCTCCAAGTTTGTATCTCTGACTACTTGAATTGTATAAGCAGTCACCTCATTAGCAGGTCTACTTGGAGTTTCCTTAGGCAAACTTATTGTCTAAAGTAAAACTTTTGATTCCTCCAAACATCTTTCTAAAAATCTTCTGCCCCTCTAGAGTTTTTCATTTCAGTTATTAGAACCATGATTTATTGAGTTGCACAGATCTAAAAACTAGAATCCATTTACATTGTTTCTCTCTCCCCTCCACTTCCAAGCTAGCAAAAACCCCTGGGGTGCAGGCCTGTTCCAAAACATATTTCAAATCCAACTACTTTTCCTTATGTCATTATTGCCACCCAAGTCCAAGTCACCACCATCTTTCTCCTGAGCTGCCATAATAACCACTTGAGTAGTCTCCCTACAAACAATCTTGATCCTCTTCAGCTTTCGAAAACTCCAGAAAAGTTTTTAAAAATGTAAATCTACTCCTGTCATTCTCTGCTTAAAACACTCTAAAGGTTTCCTCCTGTAAT